GCCACACGCTTGCTGATACAAGCCAGGATGCCGTTGGCCTTCTTGGCCACCTGGGCACACTGCTAGCTCATATTCAGCCAGGTTTCGACCAACGCCCCCAGGCCCTTTTCTGCCAGGCAGCTTTCCAGCCACTCTTCCCTAAGCCTGTAGCATTGCATGGGGTTGTTGTAACCCAAGTGCAGGACCTGGCACTCAGCCTTGCTGAATCTCATGCAATTCGCCTCGGGAATGAGGAATGCATGAAGAAGCTGTCTTAAATGTAACAAGCAATAATGAACTCAAGTTACAACCATACCATTGCTGCAGCCTTCAGATCAGAGGTATTTTCCCTATTAGCAAATATGCTGCAGCCATGACAGCATGAGTATGCAGGAGAAGGTTTGTACATTACGTCTTTTTTTTTTTTATGAGGTTGATCACAGTAAGTGGAACAGGTGTTGTAAATATTCTGATAAAATAATCAAGATTTGAAGTAGAAAATTGTAAAGTATGAAGTGTAAGTTAGGATTGTTAGGTTTGAAATAGGTAACCATAGAAACCACACCAGGAAGTTATTGGATTTTCTATGTTTTGTTTTAAGAAACTAAGGAAATCGTCACGGATACCAGATACCAGCTATGCTGCCCGGAAATCCCCTTACCCTTCCCATCCTGATTTGAATATCAAAGATTCCAATCAGTAGAATAAAGTAGGACTGACCAGTAATTGTTTTGGGGTAAAAATATTGACAAGGTTATATAACTGACGAAACCAATCATTGTAAAGGTTAAATTAAAGAGCGAGCATATTATGCATTTTGATGTAAAAGAACTTATGTAACCATCATTAGAACAACACGCTACTTGTATAAGAAAACTAGTAGTATTATGCTGGAATTGTAGTTAATAATTACAAGTTTTGATTATACCTTGCTTTGAATTTTGGTCAAGATGGCTTTGATTGATAATAAGGGATTTGTGAAGGGAGTAAGAGTATGAAAAGTCCTGGAAACTGATGAGAACACCTGGAACTGATTGTGTTAAGCTACTGAGCATGGATGACTTATATGACAACCTGGCCAAGTGGTCATTCGATTAGTTAACTTGGACCCAACAATCTTCAAACCCCTCCTTGTCACACCTGTAAGACTGAACTGCGCAAACTCAAGACAAGGAGGTCATCCAGCAGACACCAGAGGACGACCACCAGGGGTCTTAAAAGACCCAGGAAGACCCTTCCCATAATTAACAGCACATGCCCAAAGGGGAGGCATCATATGTAAATGATTTCAGGGAAAAGTAATGAATATACATCCTGATTCCAGGAATTACAATGAATATGTAATCAATTGTATCTATATAACCTGTTCATGGTAACAGCTGGGTATGCACGTTAGGTGGAACGATCCCCCATGCATCCGGTGCTGCAATAAAGAAGTGCCTGCTTATCTACTTCGCATAGATGAGTTTTCTTCCCAATTGCTAACTCAGGCAGGCAGGTTTTTTTGGAAACACAAGTTCTTCTTCAAGTCTGAAGTGAAGCCAGCAGACTTCAGTACAATTGAAAACAAGTTCTCAAAATCTAAGAAGATGCCTATCAAGTCTAGAAGTGTTAGCAGGAGCAGATGGAAGATTAGATTAAGCTGGATACTCAGTGTCTCTGCTAAGTCCATGGTATATAGCTGGAAGTTCTCAATGTTTCACAAGCTATTATCTCAAAAAACAGTCACCCTAGTTCTCTATCCCTACCATCTGGGCTACTCCAAAGGTAATGACTACTTTATCAGAGTCCTCCAGCTGCTAATTCAACTCGGAACTTTATTCCACACTTGTATTATCTTTTCAGTGTATAGTTGACATTACTGACCAGAAACAGCTTTATATACCTCCAAGACTGTCTATTTTCTTAGACCAGTTAGTGCAGTTGGGAAAGTGCTATTACCTAGATTTTTTCTGATCTTTAAAACATACCAAAAAAAGGTACCATAAGGGTGTTTTCCAACTCTCAGTTTTCCAAGAAAACCTCTTGTCCTGGAATGACAATGGATTGGAGGCAGGTGTGTGGAATTTCTATTCAAGTGTAATTTTCCCTTTGCAGGAACAAAATAATCAGACAAACCTGAGAGTATGCTTTCCAAGGGACAAGGGAAGGTAAGGTGTGTTAACAAGGACACAGTTTTAAAGGACAGGAATTCTAAACACAAGGGCAGCAGCAGAGAGGACTAGCTGTGGAGATTTTCCAATGCTCACAGCTGGCTATGATATACTTCCCTTACATCATTCCAAATGGGACCTGAGTGTTCAACCACAAACTCAAATTTTGTGACTTTAACATAAAATTTGTTAAGGAAACCCTATAAACAGCAGCCTTTCAGATGTCCATGGCAATGCTGCAAAGAAGGAAGTGCCCAGCACCAAGAGAAGTAACGTAAAACAATCTACAGAACTCAATGAAGAAACTCTGCTGCAGGGGTGGCTGGGTATCAGGGATACTATATGGTTGTAGATTATTTAGCTCTAGCTAAGCAAAACACGTATCAATGGAGCCATAATAAAGAAATGAGATGTAGGAGCCATTGGACTTGCAAGCGTTACCTTGCTTCCACAAAGCTCTGCAACTCTGTAGCCGATCTGCGAATACGGGCAAAGCTTGGACATCTAATAGCTTGCAAGCCCATTAGCAACACTCCTGGGACAGCTCACTCCCAATCCCAAACTCAAGAAGTTGTGGGATACAGAATCCCAAGACCATAACCCATCAAGCCCAAGTAGGAACACTGATTTCTCGTTCAGAAGATGAAAACGACTGATGATATTAGTAGAATATGGGCATACAGTATCTCAGCTGACTGCTCTGAGACCTGCTTATTCAGGTCAGTGCTCAATTAGCTGGGAGCTTTAACTCACATATCCCATGTTTTTTTCCTTGGCTTTTGTTCATCAGTGTCACTGCAACACAAAAAGCATGGCACCACAATCAATTCGATAACAGCAGCAGTTTGAGACACAACTGTTTCCCAGCTGTTTATCACCATCACAGCTGAAGCAGTGCAACATATAAGCTAAGATGCTTAACTTAGTAACTGGTTTTGACTGATGCTTAGGAAGCACCAGCATAGTCTTGGTTTTGTAGCTCAGTTGTGGAAGACAGCTGGATGCAGTGATTTCTTTAACAGATCCATCAGCTGCCAAAATCATTGTGGACGTGTTATTAACAGTAACAGGGACAGAACAGAAAGAAAAGGTCATGAGAGAGGGCAAAGGCTGTGCTTTTCCTACACAGGCACAATCATAGAATGGCTTGGGTTGGAAGGGACCTTTAAAGATCATCTGGTCCAACCCCCCTCCCATGGGCAGAGACATCTTTCATTAGATCAGAGTGCTCAAAGCCCTGTCCAACCTGACCTTAAGCACATCCAATGATGGGGCATCCACAACTTCTCTGGGCAACCTGTTCCAGTGTCTCACCACCTTCGCTGTGAAAAAATTCTTCCTTATATCCAATCTAAACCTACCTTCTTTCAGTTTGAAAGAATTGCCCCTTGTCATGTCACCACAGGCCGCAGTAAAAAGTCTCTCTCCACCTTCCATACAGCCCCCCTTTACGTACTGGAAGGCCACAATAAGGTCTCCCCAGAGCCTTCTCTTCTCCAGGCTGAAAAACCCTGGCTCACTCAGCCTTTGTTCACAGGAGAGGTGTTCCATCCCTTGGATCATTTTCGTGGCCTCCTGTGGACCTGTTCTAGTCTTTCAGGGGAGCCCAGAACTGGATGCAATAGTCCACGTGGGGTCTCGTGAGAGCAGATTAGAGCAGGAGAATCACCTCGCTCCGCCTGCTGGCCACACTTCTTTTGATGCAGCTCAGGAAACGGTTGGCTTTTTGGGCTGCAAATGCACATTGCCAGCTCACATCCGATTTTTCATCCACCAGTACCTCTGAGTCCTCCTCTGCAGGGCTGCTCTCAATCTATTCATTCCCAAGACTGTACGGACACTGGGGATTGCCCTGATCCAGGTGTAGGGCCTTGCACTTGGCCTTGTTGAACTTCATGAAGTTTGCACAGGCCTACTCCTCAACCCCGTTGAGGTCACCCTGGATGACATCCCTTCCCTTTTGCATATCTGAGCTTTTCTTTCTACCTGCTACTTAAATTTCATCTACAAATGAAAGTAGTTGCATCCCTCCAAACATAGAAAAATGTCTGTACTTGTAACAATTTAAAATAATCCTAATGGTGCTTGATTATTTGGCAGTGGAAACCATAATAGGTCAGCTGTGCCACTAAAACATAATAATTACTATACGTTGTAGTTGTGCAGTATGAGTCAGCACTGTGTAGAGAAATTATGTGCTGCCTGAATAATTTCTTCTTTTTATATGGCAAATACAGCCACAAACAAGAAACACAGAATCCTAGGCCTTCCAAATTTCAGTGTTTGACATAAGATGCTGGAATTCCAACAATGCAGCTGCACAGGACCACTAAGAATCAAAGTATTTCACAGTTTAAGGACATGAAAAGTATCACATGAATGCAAGAGCAGCTCGGGTACTTACAGTGCCCTCAACCTCTGAATACAGGCCTGACCAAAAGCTGAAGGTACTTTTGTCCAGCTGATACAGACGAGATTTTTCAAATGTTTCTGAATCCATGATCTGTCCTAGTTCCCGTGGTACGTGAGTTGTTGTTCTATACACCCGTCTCTGAAAAATTGAAAAAGAAACTTAAAGTCTACATCCAATATTTTTAAGGAAATAAATAAGATTCAGAAGTAACACATAACATGATCCCATTGGCCACCACAGAAAATAAAAAACAAAACAAAAAAAACCAACCCACAAATATTCCTAAATTCCTGGTTTCTATCAAGTTCCAAATATAAAACGGAAGCATAATTATTATGTTATAACCAGACACTGAGCTGTCTACTTATTAATTTATCTCCAAGATAGTTACTATATAAAGATCACAAAAACTCATTTTTCCACAGGATATGACTTATTGCACCACAAGAACAACAAAACAGAGTTTGAAACTAAACACCAGATCCTCCCATGCAAACCATGCAACTTCAGCAGAAAACATGTCTACAATGTGGCTGCATAAATGACATGCTATTTCATTTTCAGTAGCGAACTCACCACTTTAAAATTTTAAAAAGTCCTTATTCCATCCACTGCCTTGTCTTCTTTCAGTATATTTATCTCTTCTCAAAGGAAAAGCTCGTACACTTTGTCACTTCAAAATACATTTTTCCTCTGACTGCAGTCTCACAGGTGGCTTAGCTGATACGCTAACAAGCGCATGCAGCATTGCTTCCTGCCCTCCCGGCAGTGTTTTCCCCATTTTCCCCAGCCATGCTGGGTCTGGCTGGGATGGAGTTTTTTCACGGCAGTCTGCACGGTGGTATACTTTGCATTTGTAGCCAAAGCAGTGTTGATAACACACCAGGGTTCTGGCTACTGCGAAACAGGGTCAAGGCTTTCTCTTCCCCAACGAGCAGGCTGGGGGTGGACAAGAGGCTGGAAGGCGACACAGCCAGGACAGCTGACCTGAGCTGACCAAAGGGATATTCCATGCTGTGTAATGTTATACTCAGCAATAAAAACTGAAGTAGAAGAAGAAGGGCAGAGGGAGAAAAGGGTTTGACTTCCAATGTGGCTGTTACCTGGAGACTGACCAGGTGTCGGCCTGCTTGTAGGAAGTGGTGAGCAATGGCCTTTATGCGTTTTTTTTTCCCCCCTCTTTCCTTCACTTATTAAACCTTCTCATTTTTGCTCTTCCTGCTCTCTCACCTGTCCTGGGGGAGGAAGATCGAGCTGCTGGGTGGGTGTTGGGCTGCTGCTTACCTCACCGCACTTACACTTTTCCGATCCTTCTATGAACTCACCTAACTCACTGATGTGACAGCGCGTGTCCCCATCACCCCGCTAAAACAAGCGAGGTACAGTGCACGAGTTCACATGAGTTCATCTGAGTGAGTGCAGCCAGTCCACAGAAGATCAGCCACGCTCCAGCGCGGGGGCAAGCATGAGCAGACGCAGGCACCGAGTGAGGCGGGACCCCCCCGGCAGAGGCGCCGAAAGCTTTGCCATCCGGCTCTGAACCCCTGCCCGCGGCGCACAGACACGGCGAGTCCTTTCCTGCCCT